TCTCTGTGCGACTGTGCATCCTGGGAATGTACTGTATAGTACTACGTAGCCACAGATGTACAGTAGTATATATAGGGGACCTCTGTACCCCCAATCTACAGTTCAGTTCACTCGAACGTCTCCTCTCATCGCTCTAACAAGCCTCTTATAACCAACAACCCTTCTAGGTGAGTTGCAGGCTATCCGCTGTCGTTGCCACCCGTGGGAGAGGCCTTCGCCCCCCGGGTTCAACAGGTTATGAGCCCTGCTCGACGCTGCAGAATCTGCGCCGCTCATTGCGTGCTGCGATCTGTAAGCTCGCAGCTCACCTGGATCTTTTGCCATCGTTATCAATGTGCAACCGCTGCTTGGATCTGGCACGATCATATGCTGCCTGCCATGCATGCGCTGTAGACTGTTGTGGCGCGCTTTGTCACTGCCTAGAGTGCCACAGAGAGGTAACCTATGTCGGCATGATCTCTCTCTGCCTCGACTACGTTCTTTAAAGGCTTTTGGCTGACAAGTCTCCCTTCTATAACTATACCTCTTGACATCATGTCTGGTGCTCTCTACAGTGCTGTCCCTACCGCCTTCGACGGCCGCAACTACCTCGAGTGGGCGCAGCTGATGAAGTCATACCTCAAGGCGCAAGGCCACTGGGGTTCGATCATCAACACCCAGCCTACCGATGCGGATGAGGCAAAGGCCTGGCTCGATGCCGACCTCAAGGCCCAAGGCAATATTAGCCTTCGCCTTGCCCCCAGCGTTAACAGCGCTGTGTCGTCTCAGACGACAGCCAAGGGGATCTGGGACTACCTCGAGACCACCTACGGCAAGCCTGGCGTGCCGGCTGTCTACCAAGACTTCCGGGCTGCTCTTGCTCTCTCCGTTCCGGCCGACTCGAACCCTGTCCCCAACCTGGACAAGTTCGAGGCGTACTTCCAACGTCTCAAGACGAACAAGTTCGTCGTTGCTGACCACATCAAGGGCATGATGCTCATGGCGAAGCTCCCTTCCAACATGGATCCGATGATCTAGCTCTACATCGCCGGTCTGAAGCCTGCAACAGGCAAGACTGCGATCAAAGCGATCACCCTTGCTGGGATCCGCCAGCAGGTCGTACTCCATTGGGAGCAGCATCAAGGCCACCAGGGCCAATCGCGCACAAGTGCGAACAAGCTCAGCGCTGTCAAGCGCAAGGGCTCCGACCCTTCCTTCCGCCAGCAGCAGCAGCGCCCTCAGGGGCAGCAGCAGCAGCAGCAGCAGCAGCAGCAGCAGCAATAGCAGCACTTTCAAGGGCAGCAGCAACAAGGTCACCCTTGTGGGCAATGTGGTGGACGTGGTCGTCGACAGCAGCAAGGTGTCCCGGACGCTGGACAGGCACCCCTTTTTGCCGCCCATTCCCTTCTCTTTGACGCCCACCTTCCATTTTCGGACCATTTCCTTTCCTAGCCCATCCCAATTTGGACACTGCAGATACGTTCCCACAGCCGCATGCTACGTTCCCGTGATTGCCATGCCCTTGCCTTTTCTTTCTTGCCCTTTGTTCTCTCTTTGTCATTTTCACTGCCTCGCTCTCGCGCCTTGTGTTTGGTTGCTAAGCAGCCCCTCTAGTATATAAGGTCCCCATTATGTGCTCCCTAGTCCCCATCTCAACCTCTTGGTCATTGGGACTAGTCTGTCGCTGTTTGCGTGAAGACTAGCTTTTCTCAGTCTTGTGCCCTCGTGCCGGCCGCCGCTCTGCCCTCGTCGAGTTTCTTGACACATTTATCTCTTTTCTCTCTTCTCTCCTTCTTTCGGCTCCTTGCCGCTCGCCTACGGAGTCATCGCTGAACATCCACCCAGGTCTATGTGCCTAGTCGCCGCGACACAAGGTGCGCACCAACGTGCACACTTCACATCTATTACTGACACCGTCACCACACCGACCATTACTCAGGGTCCGGACGTGGTGCTGGATCCGCGTGCCCTCCTGCGCAAGCCGGTCTGCGTGGCCACAGGGAACAACAAGTACCCGTCGCTCACGCATGCCATATCCCTCGCAGAGGAGCTCGATATTCTGGCAACCCCCGAGCGCATTCGGACATTAGAGAACCTCATGCGGCGGCTGCCCACTTCAACAGGTTCCTCGATGACCTCCTCCGAAACATTGCGCGAGATGGAAACCGTCTCCTCGGACGTCCCCAGCGCGTCCATCAGCCTGTCCAGCCCAGACACCAGCCGTGAACCATCTCCAATTAGGAGTGGAACCGCCGCGTTAAGGCTTGGACGTACAAAGGCACCAAGTCCTCTGACAACGGATGGGGAAGACCCCCTGTTCTTGGACGAGGAAGAGCCGGTGCCGCCGCCCAAGTGCAAGCGCACGCTCAAGGAGCGGCTCGCTCCAACACTCAGGGAGCATCTGGACGATCCCATGGACGAGGCGGACGACACCGTGTCACTCGGCCTAACTGATGCTGAGGAAGAGATCGACGATTTCTTCGAAAGGACCTGGTATGTTTGCCATCCTTTGACCTCTAACGAGTCGTATGCTGACTGCCTGCACTCTGCAGTGACTAGTGTCGCAAGTTCTTCTCGTAGAATAGATGGTCTGCGCGACGATGTACCTGTACAGGGATATCAGTTAGATAAATTTTTCGATCCTTATAGTTATAGTAAAACGCGAATTATTTGGCCCAAATGTTATAGTGGCCCTTCAAACTATTTGAGATGGTTGGAGGGATGCCCCTCCCAAATATTCGAGGTGAACCCCAAATATTTGGGATGTATGTAGGAGCGAGGGGAGGAGGGTACTCCCCCTCCATCAAATATTTTCCAAATATTTAGTCTCAGCGCTACATAGCAAGGACCGTGCTCTGCGTGCGCTGTGGGTCCCCTTTGTGACTGCTCCAAATATTTGATAAATAATTCACCCAGATATGCTCCATTCAGTACCGCGGTGTGCGCGGTGACGTGGGTGCTCATTCAGGCTAATCGATTACACGCTCTCGACTACATCTACTGCTAGCGGAGGATAAGGAACCCATTCGTGGCAGAACGAGCACCCTCCAAGCTGCCCCAGTTGCTGGACGCCATCG